AGCGTGTCTTATCGCTGCCAGGCCCTATTTTCGCTGTTCGAGCATCCCGATGTGCAGCCCCTCAATCAACAACCTCGCGTAGTCCTCCAGCGAACCGGGCGAGCCGAAGTGTAGCCGTCGAGCTTGCTAACGCCCACGTACGGCCAATCCAGCCCGATTCCTCGATCATCCTTTCGAGCACCCGAACGCATTCTCCCGTAGCGTTTGGTAACACTCGATGGCTATTTAATATTTTCGCTTTTATATATGTGTTGTTTCAAGGGGTTCCTTATGATTGATATAGGTGTAATCGTATGTGATATTCTATGTCGTCTTGTCGTGAATGCTTGATATATCCGTTAAACGGTGGAACCCTCTTTCACTTATGTGATTATAATGCTGTTAGTATTTCTGTTAAATCATGAATTGGAGTATTAATTGGTGTGATTATGTTATGAGGATAAATCTGTTGTAGTTCTTTTAGATTTCTTGAAGAGCATGATTTTATGGTCTCTGTTGCGCTGCTGATATAACCCTGAAGTACTCGTTCTTTGGAAATCTGGTCTTGATATGATATGTAGCTTGTTCTGTTGTCTTTACGTGAGCTCTGGATTCATGTGATTCCAACTTGAAACGAATAAGTTATGATTTTTACAAAAATGTCGCGCGTACAGTTTTTTTAGAAAACCCGGCAGCATGTTAGGCTAGATGTTTAACCCGGTTGTTGTGTCTTAATGTACTCAAACTGAAAATTGTTCATCATGATAATTGTAGTATTTTGAGTTAGGGTTCAGTAAAATTTAGAATTTCGAAATTTGGAGTTAGTTTGAATTTATTATGAAGTTGTACATGCAAGCAGTTTCTGTAATTCCGGGCAGATTTGTAGATTAAGATGTTAGGCTGATTTTGATAATCTTAATGTGGCTATATGAAAATGTGATCTGCATGAAACATGTAGTAAATGTTATAAGCTTTCATTAGGAGTTGAAATCTTACAATTTAGTGTTTTGGTTGATTTTATATGAATTTTCAAAGTCAGTCAGACATGCAGTTTTTATAAACTTGGGCAGAGATTTTGACCTTAATTCATGCCTTTTTTTTTATGATCTTAACGTGCCTGAATGGAAATGTATTCTTCATAACAAATGTAGTATATGTTGTAAGCTGCCTGTGAGAGTTAGAATCATACAATTTGGAGTTCTATTTGATTTTATATAATTTTTCTAAGTGGGATGTACACCCAGCTTTTATGAAACCAGGACTGTGGTTAAGTGTTGAATGTGTGCTCTGTTTTGATGACCCAAAAGTATTCGTATGAAAACGTTGTCTTCATAACAATTGTATATTTCCATGTGTAGATTCTGTAAGTTTTAAGTTTATAAGAATTGGAGTCCTATAAGTTGAGTTATTGTCGTTTTAGTGAAGTGTTGTAACTTGGTAAATAATTATGTTGGCAGATTTCTCCACCTAAGTGTTTTATGCTTAAACTGGGTTGTAAAGCTATTTTTGGCTTAAGTGATCAACATGAAAGTTGTGAATATATGTGTTAGCTACTCGTTGGTTTTGGAATCACCTGAATAGCATGCTTATAACTCCTGTTATTTTGGAAATGCTGAGACTATGCGAGTTCGTTGTGCAAACATGCTATTATGAACTATGTGGTTGAGTGATATCGCATGAGTGTAGTTATAAGTGTTCGTGTGTGGGATAGTCTCTTATAGGACTATTTTGTATAATGTAGGTTTTGACGAGCTGTGTTCTCGGCCTACTTATTTCCCTCAACTCTGTGTTTGGCTATATCTCGGTATCCAGGTGGGTTTTAATCTAAAATTTGCTATGTTATAATTGAGGTAAGATTTTTATACTGAATGTCTGTGAATATATGTGTGAGTCATGAGACGGTGCCTAGTGGTGGGCGATCTCCAACCTTGTGAAAGGTAGACTCATTTTAGCCTAGTCGATGGGCCGTGACCGTTGATGTTGAACCTCGGCACGACTGTACTCCTGCTGACAAGTTTGGGCTTATCCCTGGCGGCTTTTGATAGGTGTGCACATGAGTATAGTGATGAGTAGGAGAGTGGTGTGTTATGTCTTTTGACCATGTACTTGCATATGACTCTAGTATAGGATTCTTACCAATATATTATGCATAGTGGTGAGTACCTCGTTTATATTTGTGCTCAT